GCTGATGGAGTGCAGGGGGACGGAGCTGTCTCTGCAGGACTGCTGGGCCCAGCCAGGGGACAGCGCTGCCTGCCAGCATAAGGCAGATGCGGCTGTGCATTGCTCAGGTGAGCAGTGGGGCTGGGAGACATGGCTGGGGGCTTGGCAAGGAGCTGGCTTGGGCATCTGCCCTGCTGGATTCTGGCATGGCCCCAGTGCTGGCCCAAGCAAGGGTGTCTCTGCAGAGTGGGAGGCTGGTGGTGGGTGGGGAGCAGCCTCTGTGAGGCTGGATGTCCCAGCACATCTCCTGGGCTGTCTGCACTGTCCTGTGAGCAGCACAGAGCAGTGGTGCTGGGCCCTGTCGTTGCCACCCTGCTCAGCCCCGCAGGACGGACAATTCAGGTGGCACATGCTGGGGTCATTTGCCAGGGAGGCTGCCTGGTGCCACAGCCCCAGCCTCTCAGCCCAGCTCTCCTTCTGCTCCCCTGCAGCTGCACCCAGGACAGCAACACCCCCCCCACAAGCAGGTAAGCTGTCCTTCCCCTGGGCTGGGTCTGTCCATGTCCACGCTGTGACCCACAGCCAGGGGAAGGGGCTCCCTGTTGGGCTGTGAGACTCCCAGGAAATTGAGAGAGCTGGGGGAAGTCTGTGATGTACCCAGCAGGGTGGGAGCTGCCCCATCACCCAGCCTTGTCCCCCCCAGCCCCTGCTGCCTTGTGTGGTCAGGAGTGGTATGTCCTGCCTCCAACCTCTCCCTTGCTGCCCCTGCCGTGTTCCTGCCCATGCAGATCCCCCACGGGGCCGTCCAACCACCAGCAGCGAGGGACTCTCAGTGCTTGTCATCCTCCGCATAATCCTGGGGGTCCTCCTCTGCCTGCTCCTGGCCCTCCTGGCTGGGCAGGTGCGAAGCACCAGGGCTCAGCGCAGAGGTGCCTCCTTCCCCAGTGGTCCTAGGGGGGAGATGCCTCCTGGTAGGGCTGGGGGTGCTGGGGGTGTTGGTGTCCTGGGGCACAGAAACAGAGCCATGTGCTGCCTCCTGCCCCATGTGCTGCCCCACTGACTGACAGATCATGGGGCACCAACATCAAGGGGTGGAGAGAGCCCAGAGCCTGAGGCATCCGTTCTGGGGAGAGAAGAGAAATGTGAGATCTGGGCTGGGTGAGACGGGGAGGATGTACTGCTGGCAGTGCTCTTGGCAGTACTGGCAGGAGGAGCATGGGGCAGTGGAGTCCATCACCGTTGTATCAGCCACCCCCCAGCAGGGCACGGGCTGTGCTATTGACGTGTGGGGCAGAGATGGACAGCTCCATGGGGAGGAGAAATGTGGGAATTGGTGCAGGGTCTGCACTGGAACATGACCCAGGGACCAAACGGGCACAAGGGCTGTCTCCAAAGGGATGGTGTGAGGCTGACTCTGCCCCAGACTATCTCCATGGGAATGCTGCCCTCCCTGGGGATGTGGCTGCAGTGCCAACACAACACAGAGGGGCTGTGCTGTGGGGACAGCCTTGTGCTGGCCCCGATAATGGGGCTGAGGGAGCCCAGTGGGGTCCTGTCCCTCTCTGCCCATTCCCAGACCAGCCCTGCCTCTGTCCCCAGGCTCCGGGAGAGCTGGGGAGCCCTTCCCTGAGACCCATTTGCAGCCCTACCCTGGGCACATGAGGAGGAGGATGATCTGGGGCCACTCCCAGGGTTAAGAGGTGGGAGGGGGAGGGTGGAAGAGCTCCATTTCTCCTCCCTGCAGACAGACCAGACAGACAGCAGTGCCACCGAGTGTTATCATCAGAGCTGGAAGCATGAAGGCTCTGCTGTGACCCTGACACCAGCAGCATGTCAGCCCTGTGTCCCCACACACCCTCCCACCCTCTGCTCTTCAGAACATCTCTTCTCATTGCCACCACCTCCCCTCTCTTTTCAGATGTCCCTGTCCTGCCTGGAGGTTACCCAGCAGGTGGCTATGATGATGCTGGGGAGGTTTCTGACCCTGGGGAGGATCCTGTCCCTGGGCAGGGGGACTGGGAAGTGCCCAGGACACCAGAGGAAGGAGCTGGGCCCAGGGATGCAGCACAGGTGAGAGGGCAATGCAGCACTGCCACTTCCTAGGTGCCAACCCCAGGCCTGGGAGGATCCATGCCATATTGAAAGCCTGACCACCTCCATATGGAGAACCTGTCCTGGGAGATTTTGTGGGGGCTGGGAGAATGGGCTGAGTGTCTCAGGCTGGTGAGGATGAGGAAGATGATAAACAGCCCCGAGGGGCACCCCACAGGCCCAACCACAGCAGCCTGCCTTGATGCTTACAGGGGGAAGCCTGCACTCCCGGAGAAGTGCTGGGGTCCCTGGGGCTGATGGACACACCTCGTCACCTTTCCTGGGGAGCACGGGCTATGACGATGTTGAAGAGGTGTCTCTGGCATATCCCCATGAGGACACCCAGGATGTGACACCAGAGCCCCATGCACAAGAGTTCCAGAGCCCCAGGCCAGCAGAGCCCAGCTCTGCTGAGCAGCTGGGTGCAGCCGGGAGGGAGGAGAGCTCAGTGCCACTGGGAGAGCCGTGAGTGCCAGGAAATAGTCTCCCTTTTCCAGCAGTCAGCAGACACACATGGGTATTTCCCCTCTTGGTATTCCCCTGTTTTTATGCTGTGTGTTGGTATTTCCTCATATTAAAACCCTCTGGGGGCTTTGCCCCAGATCCAGTCTTCCCTGACCATGTTTCTGGGCGTCTCCCTGAGGTTGATGGAGGGGAGAAGAGCTCAAAGATCCAGCGGTTGGGAGGGGACACATCTTAGAGCCAGCAGGATCGGGGTCTGGCTTTGGGGCTGACAGAGCCCCTGGTCCCTGGACACTATTCCTACTGACAGAGACATTTCTGTCCTGCCAGCCACAGGCAGTTTCCAGACAAAGTGGATCTCTGGGAAGCCCCATGAGACACTCCCTTGCAGTGCCCACCTTCTGCTGCCTTGGGCCCCCACGGAGCCTAAGGATGCCTGCCCAGCACCCATGGACAGAGATATCTAAGTTGCAAGAGGTGAACAGGGAGATGTCTTGGATCCTTGGGCAGGACTTGGCACCAGCTCCTGTTGGTGGGTCCCCACAGCCCTCCAGGTCTTTCCCAGCAGGCTCCTCTGCTGCAGGCTGGGAGGTGCCTTTGGTAGTGGGATGGTGGGCTGGAACACCTATTGGAGCATCTATTTAATCCCGTTGGGTCAGCTGTCCTGGCTGTTTATAGTCTTCTCTGGGTGAAGAACTGGCTGGAGGGCCATGCCCAGCGGGTTGTGGTTAATGGAGTTCAGTCCAGTTGGCGTCCCGTTACAAGTGGTGTCCCCCAGTGGTTGGTACTGGAGCCTAGCTTGTATAATAGCTTTATTGATGACCTAGATGAGGGGTTGAATGTACCCTCAGTAAGTTTGCAGAAGACACTGAGTTGGGAGGTAATGTTGATCTGCCTGAGGCTAAGGTGGTCCTTCAGAGGAATTGGGATAGGCTGGGCTGAGGCTAATGGGATGGGGTTTAACAAGGCTAAGCACCAGATCCTGCACTTTGGCCACAACAACCCCATGCAATGCTATAGGCCTGGGACAGAGTGGCTGTGAAGAGGAAAGGGACGTGGGAGTGATGATCGATGTTTGGCTGAACATGAGCCGGCAGCGTGCCCAGGTGGAAAGAAGGCCAATGGTATCCTGGCCTGTGTTAGAAATAGTGTAGCCAGCGGGAGCAGCGAGGTGATCATCCGCCTGTATTCAGCTCTGGTGAAGCCACACCTGGAGTACTGTGTTCAGTTTTGGGCCCGTCACTACAAGACAGACATCGATGTGCTGGAGCATGTCCAGATAAGGTCAACAAAATTGGTGAGGGGTCTGGAGCACAGGTCCTGTGAAGAGCGGCTGAGTGAGCTGGGATTGTTTAGTCTGCAGAAGAGGAGGCTCAGGGGAGACCTCATTGCAATCTACAACTTCCTGAAGGAGGCTGTGATGAGGAGGGGGTCAGCCTCTTCTCTCTGATAACTAATGATAGCACTCGAGGAAATGGCCACAAGTTGCGCCTGGGGAGATTTGGTTCAGATATCAGGAAAAACTTTTTCTCTCAAAGAGTGGTCAGGCAACTGATCACATGGGGCCCGTCCCCTCTCCAGCAGCAGCCTGGCCCAGGGCATAGAGCGCGGGGCCACAGCCCAGCTGCCTGCACGCCACCTCGGCATCCCACATGTCCCAGGCATTGTCACACAGTGTCCCCCAGGTGCCACGGTGCCAGATCTCCACTCTGCCCGAGCAGTCGTCCTTGCCTCCCACAGCACGGATCTTCTCCCTGTCTGGGGAGGCAGCGATGTCTCATGGCACCAGAACAGCTGGGACAGCCCTGCCAGGTGAGGGGGGCACGCGTAGGGGCAGCTCCCTACCTGTGCAGCTGGTGGAGTTGGGGCATGCAGCCACCTGCGGCCTTTCTGTCCATGTCCCAAAGGAAAGAGAAGTTGGTCTGAAAAGGGCTGCTCTAGGCGTCATGCAGAACAGAGCAGGGCTGACCTCTGCTCACACATCCCCATGCTGCCTGGGTCAGGGCAGCAGCAGCACCCTGTTCATTTAGGGGACGCACACAGCACTGCAGGGGGGACCCAAGTTCTGAGCCCTACAGGGTCCGTGGTTCACAGAGCAGCAGGAGGCTGTCCCAGGAGGGAGGACTCCTGAAAGCCCTGCATGGTCTCCTCTGAGACCTTGCCGGAGATGCCTCTGCATCCCCCAGGGAGCTGCTGGCAGCCCGGCTGTTGACTGCTGCTGGTGGACATGGGTGGCTCCAAAAGCTGAAGTCACCTTTGTGTACCAGTAGCAGCAGGGTCTAATGCAGGAAGTCAAACCCCGTCTGGGTTTCTTCTCTGCATTTCACCATGCCCAGTGGAGAACTGGACCTGGTGCCTTGATGTCTCAGATTTACCATTGCAGGTGATGTGGGTCTCTTCTCGGAGGTCATCACATGACTGCGGATTCCAGGAAGCAGAGGGACACTGCCAGAAGGAGCTGTTGCTCTTCCCACACTCCACGTGATCCAGCCATGCAGTACCAGACAGCTTGGCATAGTTAGAATGTATTTCCAGTTCCCCTTCATTCCCGCAGCCCAGCTCCTTGCACACCAGTGACACCGTCTCGGTGGTCATGGAGTTGGAGCAAACGCTGCCCCACGTCCCGTTGTAGAAAACCTGCAGGCGCCCGGAGCAGCCGTCGCTGTTCTCCAGCCTCAAGGCCATGAACTCTGGAAGGAGGAAAGGCCCCAGACAGAACAGGCTGGTCTGGGGCTGGTGGAACAGAGGCTCCTCTGCACCCCAGGTGCTCAGGAATTCGGAGGCACAGCCAGCAAATCCCTTTTGCATCTGGGGGCAGAGAGGTCTCTGACATACTCCTTTGCCCTCCCCACTCACTGTCAGGGTGGATGGGCTCCCAAGGGTCTGTGTGAAGGATTCCCCAGGATGGGCTTGGGCGGGGGACCCAAGTCAGCCTGGGATGGCACTGGCCTTGCCCAGCTCTGCACTTACTCTAGTCTCTGAGGCCCCAGCTCCCAGCCCCAAGCCCAGCACAGACCTGAACAGATGACTCCCGCGTCCTCCTTGTGCCCGCAGTCGTGCTGCCCCCAGGCCTCGGCAGGGCAGTCCCAGAGAGCAGCTTCAGCCCCGGAGCAGTTGACGCCATCCAGCCAGATCTGCCCGGAGCCCTCCCCAAACCGAGCAGAGCCGGCTGCCTCCAGGGCCCTCCACAGCCCAGCTGGCGGCAACGACGGCGGCGTCGGCCAGGTCCAGGCGTCGTTGCAGACGGTGCCCCAGTGCCCCTGGTAGTAGATCTCCACTCTCCCGGCACAGCGCCCAGCCCCATCCACCAGCCGGACCCGCCGGCCCCCTGCAGTAGGGAGAACCCCGACGCTCAGGGGCTGGCTGCCCTCCCGGACCAGCACCTGTGGGACGTGCAGCACCACTCACCCCGGCACACGACCCCCACGTCCTCCATGATCCCTTCTGTTGGCATGCTCTGAGGCAGGGAGGTGTTGCAGAGGCTCAGGTCAGCCTCGTGCCCTGCACACCGCACCCCACGCAGCCCCACAGGTCCTCGTCCTCGCTCGGCCCTCACGGGGGTGTAGGCTGCCTCTGCCTCTCCGCACTGCAGCTGCCGGCACACCACGCTGGCCTCCTGCATGTCCCACTGCTCATCCAGGACTCTGCCCCACGTCCCGTGCTGGAACACCTCCACGCGCCCGTCGCACCGGCTCCCTCCGCCCACCAGCCGTACAGACATGTGGTGAGCTGGGCCTGGTGAGAGCAGAAATTCAGCTTGGTGCTGCTGTGGGGTCCCCAAATTTGTGTGGCCGTGTCACACACCAGGGGCAAATGGACTTTGCAGCACTGCCCAGCACTCACCTGAGCAAATGACAGCAGCAGCGTTCTCCTGGGAGCACGGCGAGGCCCCCAGGGCAGTCACCGGGCACTGCCCCAGGTGGGCTTCAGTCCCGTCACAGTGGAACGAGTCTCTCCAGATGGGGCCGGTTCCTCTCCCAAAATGCCCTCCTCCAGGAATGGACTCAGCAAAGCCACAGCCGAGGTGCCGACACAGAACGTGGGCGTCCGAGAGGTCCCAGCGGGAGGCACAGAGGGTCCCCCAGCTCCCCAGCACATTGACCTCCACCCTGCCCTCACACGCTGTGCTGCCGTTCACCAGCCTGAACCCTGTGTACTCTGGGGACAAAGGAGGGTGAGAGAGGCCACATTTGTGCTCTTGCTCCCACAGGATCTGGAGGAGAGGCCAAAGGGACAGCGTTCTTTCCTCCTCCCCACCAGCAGTTTCTCCTCTCCACCCAGCACAGCCCAGTGTTCACCCTGCTCTCCTTCCCCCACCATAACCCCAGTGTCCATCATACCACCCCAAGTCCTTACGTGTGCAGGTGACATGAGTGCCATTGCTGTGGGTGCAGGCCTTGTCCTTGGGGGCCCCCGTGGGGCAGAAGGAGAGGACGGATTCATTCCCCACACACTGCAGCTCTCCGTCCCAGACAGGACCGGCCCCTTCTCCCAGCTGAGCTGCCCCATGGACAGACAGGGCTGTGCCACACTGCAGCTCCCTGCACACCACCTCGGCAGCTTTGGCACTAAAGTAGGAGTGACAGACAGCTTTCCACTGGTCCCTGTCGTAGACCTCCACACTTCCTGAGCAGGGGCTGTCCCCTCCGACCAGCCGGACAAATCCTGGAGCAACCAAGGAGACCTGTGAGTTCCCAGAGCCCTCTGGCAATTCTGTGCCCACCTCATCCCTAAGGCAGCCACATGCAGAGTCCCCCAGCCAGCCCAGCAGCTCTGAGAAGGTGCTGGTGGCACAAAGAGGTCAGGGCACCCCTACTGCTCCTCAGAATCCAGCCCAGCACCCATGTTCTCTTTTCCAAGCCCCCAGCTGCAGACACCGCTCAAACTGCTGCTGCCCGGAGCCCCTGGGCTGCCCAGCCCCAGACCCAGCACTGCAGCACCCGCAGCACATGGGGCTGGGGAAACAGCCCCAGGAACTAAGGGCTACTTCAGCCTGCTCTGCCCCACAAGGCTCAGGCCATTTAGAAGAAATCCTTGGATCTGCTAAAAAGCCCCCTGTTCCCAGGGAATGCTGGGGCTCTTGGGGAGCTCCTGTTAGATGGGGCACTTCGGGGAATCCTCTGCAAAGGGGGGTCCTCTGCTAGGTACAGTGTGGTGCTGGACATGCACGTCCCCAGCCACCTACCATGCATGGGTCAGGAAAGCAGGCAGAGAGCAGCCCTGGGCTGACACGAGCTCCCGGTGTGAGGGGAGGCACCAACGAGAGCCAGGAGGTGCTGGCACAGCCCCTGGGGCATGGGTTAGGCAGGAGAGGTCAGGCAGTGGGTCAGGAAGGCCTGGAGGGGCCATGTCTCCAGGGACTGGCTCTCATGGGGTGACCCCGGGACAGGAACAAGGTGCCACTTGCCACCATGTTCCTCTGCTCAAGCCCAGTGCTCCTGCCCTCTGAGCAGCCCCTCTGCTTTGGCCAAGGTTCTCTTGGCTGCTGGGGGTACAACCAAAAGTCCTGGGCCATTGCACACCCTTCCCTGAGGCTGCTGGTGGCTGGGGGAGCTGCTCTAGATTCCCCTGGCATAGGGACCAGCCTGCCAGACAGGGCCTGGGTGAATGGAGGAGAAAGATGGGAACCAGGTAGCACAATGGGGAAGGGTGAGGGCTTTCCTCTCCCAGCCCCAGACACCTCCCCAAGGTTGGCTGCTCCAGCTTCAGGGCCAGGCTCAGTGTGCTCCCACTGGGCTTTCTCCAGGGACAAGGGACACCGGCAGTGACAGACCCAGCTCACAGTGCAACTTGACACACAGAGCCATGTTCTAGTGTCCAGTTGTTTCCTGAGGTCACAGCCAGGTCCTTTAGAAGTGTCCTCGTCCCAGAGGTAGGGAACAAGTTCAGTCCTTACCTGAGCATGTCACTCCAGCATCCTCACTGTGATAGCAGTATGCTTGACCCCATCTGTTTTGTGTGCAGTCAGACAGGGCAGACTCGGTGCCACGACAGCCAACATAATCCATCCAAATGGGCCCAGATCCTGGCCCAAAGTGTGCATTCCGATGAGCTTTGAGAGCACCCCCACAGCCCAGCTGCCTACAAACCACTGCAGCATCAGACATGTCCCAGTCGTAATGACACACGGTCCCCCACTGGCCCTGATGTTTCACCTCCACTCTCCCAGCACAGCGACTGCCGCCATCCGCCAGCCTCACCTCCGCAGCCCCTTCAAACACCAACACAGGAAGGGTCAGGAGAGTTTTGAGCCCCACATTGTGTGTCCATGAGGACCCCCTCCCCAGGCAGACTCCCAGTTTCCAGGGTGGGATCCCTGTCCCCATAGGCTGTCTCAGGGGCAGCGGGGGGTTCCTCCTCTCCCCATGGGCTACACTGGGCTGGGGGTACCCAGCTCTAGCCCTCCTGGGCCATTCGCTGCCCCACAGCTCTCAGCACCTCCTCCCACCCCAGCGGACCCCTGCCCTCACAGATGCCCACCCCCACACAGCCCCGAGCCCTGCACAGGGCTCCCGCTCCTCCCCATCCCAGTGTCCCCCGAACAGCCCCATGCCCCTGAGCAGCTTCCATTGCCCATTGCCTGCCACAGGCACCTCCTAAAACAACTGTCCAACCCAGGAACTCTAGGGTGCCCACAGGGAACTGAATTGATCACAAGGATCCCAAAAAACTTTCCTCATCCCTGCTGTCAGATCAGTCCCTGTGCTTGGACAGAGCCCCAGGAAGAACACCTCTCTACCACTTTTGGATGCAGACACCCCAGTCCCGTTCTGTTAATGGGACACAACCTGCCCTCCTGGAGTCAGTGTTTCCCCAGATCCCAGGGGCAGGGAACAGCACACAACCCCCCTGGGACACCCCGGACAGGGGCTGTGCCCTGGAGATCACTGAGGGTTACTCTCACTGTCTGGGACTCCTCCAGATCCAGAGGCACAGTGCTCGGGAACAAGGGCTCACAAAAGGGTCCCCAAGGACAAGGAGTCTAGAAATGATGCAAGGCATGGGCTGCCATAATCATGGGAGCTGTGGAAATGGATTACCCCCTCCCATCCATGACAAGCACAGATTAAAACACAGGGATGAGGGAATGAGAACCTTCTGCCTCTCATTTCAGTGGTGCCTGAAAACAACCCCACTCCCAGAGAGATCCCGATGACCCCACTGCTGCCCACTGTCCCAAGGCTGTGGAACAGAGAAGCTGGCACTTACCTCTGCAAGGCTGCACCCAGAGGAACAGCCACAGCACCCAAGGGGACAGGAGTCCCTCTTTCCCCATCCTGAGGCTCCTGCCCTGACAGCACAGCCCTGCTGCTGCAGCTCCTGGGGACCCACAGTGAAATGGCGATGATGGGAGGGCAATATATCTGTGCAGATGCTGTCCCAGCTGCAGGAGGAGCCAATCGAAGCAGCAGGCACCTTTTTAGACGTTATCGGCACTTATCTCCCCTCCGACGTAGCCCAGCTCTCCAATGAACTTCTCCAGCGCTCTTCATGACCATATATGAGGGACGGCTCCGCTGCGGGTCTCACGTCACTGCGGTGGGAGATGATCGTGGGGTAGGGCTGGGTGTGGGGGCAGATGGCTCTGACACCCCTTGCAGCCTGCTGTGGGAGCACGGAGCATCTCCTAAGCTGTAGCATCCAAGAGCCCAAGGTGCGATTGTCCGGCTGTCCCTGCGCCATGGGATCCAGGAGACTGGTCCTGCAGCGGGGCTGTGTCAGGCTGGGAAGGGACCAGCCCCTGCCCCTGCTACAGCCCCTGCTGTGCTGGCAGCAGCAGCTGGGAAAGGCCCTTGGGCAGGGCCAGAGCCCCATGATGGGGGTGCTGGCTGTCCCGTCCCTCCCCAGGGAGCCTCCTGTGGGGTCCCGGCAGCAGCCAGAGCTGGTCCAGGGCCTGCCCTGGCAGCAGAGCTGCAGCCCAGAGCCTCAGGCGTCTCCCTGGCTCTCAGCGTGTCACCCAGGGGCCGTTATTCCCCACGGCGGGTCGGGAGCTGGAGCCTGCCTGCCACTGCAGATGCACCAACCGCAGCCCACGTGACATGGTGCCCGGGCAGGAAGACGGTGGTTTCCTCCTGGCCCCGTGCCCAGGCATGGCCCTGCGGTGCCTCCCAGCCTCCTCACAGCTCCAAGCCTGGCAGGGTTCAGGAAGTGTTTGGATAATGCTCTCAGACATATAGTTTGATATATATATATAATATTTTTATTAAAATATAGATTTTTATAAATGTATACAAATTATATATTTTACACAGAATCACAGAATCACAGAATTTCTAGGTTGGAAGAGACCTCAAGATCATCGAGTCCAACCTCTGACCTAACACTAACAAGTCCTCCACTAAACCATATCACTAAGCTCTGCATCTAAACATTTTTTAAAGACCTCCAGGGATGGTGACTTCACCACTTCCCTGGGCAGCCCATTCCAGTGTCTAACAGCCCTTTCAGTAATGAAGTTCTTCCTAACATCCAACCTAAAACTCCCCTGGCGCAACATATACACATTATATTAATTAGCATATATTTACACACATTTTACTTATATTTACATACATCATATTATATTATATTACAATATATTATATTATATAATATAATATTATATTACATTACATTACATTACATTATATTATAGATGTCCTGGTTTCAGTTAGAACAGAGTTAATTTTTTTCCTAGTAGCTGGTAGAATGCTATGTTTTGGCTTAGGATGAGAAGAGTTCTGATAACACCCCGATGTTTTAATTGTTGCAGAGCAGTACTTATACTAAGCCAAGGACATCTCAGCTTCCTGCTCGGTCCTGCAAACGGGCAGGCTGGGGGTGCAGCAAGAGCTGGGAGGGGACAGACCCAGGACAGGTGACCCAAACTAGCCAGAGGGGTATTCTATACCATCTGACGTCATGCTAAAAAATATATAGGGATGGCTAGCCAGGGGAGGGGGCCGGACTGCTCGGGGTTAGGCTGGGCATCGGTCAGCGGGTGATGAGCAATTGCATTGTGCATCACTTGTTTGTACACATTATTAGTGGTAGTACTATTATCATCATTGTATTATTATAATTATTGTTATTATTATTATTATTATTATTGTTAGTATTATTTTCCTGTCTTATTAAACTGTCTTTATCTCAACTCACGGGCTTCACTTTCCGTTTCTCTCCCCGGCCCAGAGAGGGAGGGGGAGGGTGAGCGAACGGCTGTGTGGTGTTTAGCTGCTGGCCGGGTTAAACCACAACAGTCCTTTTTGGCGCCCAACGTGGGGCAAGAAAGGTTGAGATAACGGCAGATCTGACCAGAGTGTGTTAAACTAAAATTGGTATAAGTATTAGACCTACTTAATAGTCACTTGTCATAATGCTGATTGCTTTAATCTCAACTCTGCTGCACCTGCTTTCCAAATTGAGTATTATAACACGTTATTTTCCGTATGTGGTCTCTGTCATGTTGTTTATCCTCTCTGGGCCCTGGTTTAAGATCATTATGGTACTGTGTGTTGTAGCAGTGGCTTATGAGACGAAATATCTGGTCATGACTCTAACTTGGTATTTGTACTCAGTAACATCGTCGAATCTATACTTTGGAAACCGTATCTCAGAAACTGTTAACAATTATACTTGTTGCCTTTTTTCATCAGGGAGTCAATCTGCGGAGGGGAACGGGGAAGATATTTTTTCTTACTCGATCACTCTCCCTTTCTCCTTCACCACCCCCTTGTCCTCCTTGATCACTCTCCCTTTCTCCTTCACCACCCTCTTATCCTCCGAGCTTGTTACAGTAGCTCTCCAAGATATTGAATATCCTTGGGATACTCAGACCAGCATAGTCTTGTTGTTCTGCCTCATGAATGTGCTTCAGGTTTTGCTTAAATTTAAACAACTACTTAGGAATCTCATCCAGAGATCTGCCCGGAGGCAGTATAGTTGTGAGTGGCAGGGAGTATGGGAGGATATGGGTAGGCATCTAGAGCAGTGGGCACCCCCAGTGTGTTGGAAATTCACCCCTGAACAACTGAAAAATCCTCAAAAACTGGTAGAATGCTTGAAAAAAAGGTGTCATGATTCTGGCAGTTCCAAAGTGACACAAATCATTGTAACGTGCTGGGGCCTGGCTCATGCCTATCGAGCTGCAAATGATACTACTATCAACTTAGTGACAGACCCTGCGGCCACTCCAAGTCCTGTGACAGATCCAACGGCCACTGCGACCCCTACGGTGGACTCTGCAGCCGCTCCAGCTCCAGTTCCTGCAGCCACTCCAGCTCCAGTTCCTGCAGCTGCTCCAGTTCCAGTTCCTGCAGACGCTCCAGTTCCAGCTCCTGCAGCTGCTCCAGCTCCAGCTCTTGCAGCCACTCCATTTCCAGCTCCTACATCCACTCCAGTTCCTGTGGCTGGGTCAGAGAAACGAGCTGTAGCAGTGCAAGTTGACCCTGCAAAGAGTATTCCAACCCCTGTGGCAGACCCTGTAGCTGGGTCAGAGAAACGAGCTGTAGCAGTGCAAGTTGCCCCTATAGAGAAGGTGAAAAAATAGTATAGAGATTCAGGTCATTTAGAATGCAGAGATTCTTCTGCCAAATCTAGGTATAGAGATGATGATGCTGGGCCATCAGGGATTCAGGAGGAGGAAGATGAGGATGCCAAAAAATCAATAGTAACTACCCGAAACCTATACGAACATGAGCTACGAGATGTGCGAAAAGATTTTGGTTGTTGCATAGGTGAGAAGCTTGTCACCTGGCTGCTCCGATGCTGGGACACTGGAGCCAATTGTGTGGAATTAGACAGCAGGGAAGCCAGGCGCCTGGGATCCCTTGCTCGAGACGCCGGCATTGACAAAGCAATTGCAGATGGAGCACAATCTCACAGTCTCTGGAAGCGTCTCCTCTCAGCTGTGAGGGAAAGGTATCCCTTCCAGGAAGAACTTTTATGTCTACCAGGCAAGTGGACCACTGTGGAGAAGGAAATCCAGTACCTGAGGGAATTAGCCGTACGGGAAGTGATTTATGAGGATCCAGACCTCAGACAAACATCCAAAGATCCAGATGAAGTCAGGTGTACACGACCCATGTGGCGGAAGTTTGTACGGAGTGCACCATCATCATATGCCAGCTCATTGGCAATAATGGCCTGGAAAGAGGATGAGGAACCCACAGTGGATGAAGTGGCTAAACAACTCCGGCAGTACGAAGAAAGTCTTTCCTCTTCCTTACAGGCCTGCGTCTCAGCTGTGGAGAAACTTTCTGAAGAGTTCCACCAATTTAAAGAGAATCTATCTTTCTCCCCACCTGAACAAACCAGTGTCCACCGACCAAAAGAGAACACTTTTGAGAAACTTTCTGAAAAGTTTCACCAACTTGAAGAGAGATTATTCTCCTCTGTACCTGTACAAAGCAGTGTCTCAGCTATCGGGGTAGGTGGTCATCCGCACAAGGAAGACAATATGGTGGGTATACACCCCGTGCCATGCTGTGGTTTTACCTATGTGACCACGGAGAGGACATGAACTATGAGATGGAAAATCTACCTTGACCCTAGAGATATGGGTATGGGAGTTGCAAAAGAAAATGATCAGGAAAAAGGGGTTCTCTGAAAAATTTGCTGCTCCAATTTCCAGCAGGCAGTCCTTTAGACACAGAAACAGAGATTCTGACCATGATTAGAGGGGCCCTGCCTCCAGCCAGGGGGAGGAAAGGGACAATCGAGATTATTGGACTGTATAGATTCGGTGGCCTGGCATGTCAGACGCACGGAAGTATAAGGCTTTAGTAGATACTGGTGCACAATGTACTGTTATACCATCAAGCTATAAAGGGCCAGAACCCATCTGCATTTATGGGATGATAGGGGGATCCCAGCAGTTAACTGTATTGGAGGGTGAAGTAATTCTAACTGGGAATGAGTGGCAAAAACATCATACTGTGACTGGCTCAGATGCTCCGTGCATCCTTGGCATAGACTACCTCAAGAGAGGCAAGGACCTAAAAGGGCTTTTGGCAGAGCTGTCTTAGAGACAGAGGACATTAAACAGTTGTCTACCTTGCCTGGTCTCTCAGAGGACCCTTCTGTTGTGGGGATGCTGAGGGTTGAAGAACAGCAAGTGCTAATTGCTACCACAACTGTGCACTGGCAGCAATATCGCACCAACCAAGACTCCCTGATTCCCATCCATAAGCTAATTCATCAATTGGAGAACCAAGGAGTGATCAGCAAGACTCATTCACCTTTTAATAGTCCCATATGGCCAGTGCGAAAGTCTAATGGTGAGTGGAGACTAACGGTGGACTATTGTGGCCTGAACAAAGTCACGCCACCACTGAGTGCTGCAGTGCCGGACATGCTGGAACTCCAGTACAAACTGGAATCAAAAGCAGCCAAGTGATATGCCACAATTGATATCGTTAATACATTTTTCTCCATCCCCTTAGCAGCAGAGTGCAGGCCAGTTTCCTTTCACTTGGAGGCGAGTCCAATACACCCAGAGTCAGCTACCCCAGGG